TTTTTATAAATTTAGAACCTTCTTTTGTTTCTTCTTCTGTTGTTGACTTGTTGAAGAAACAGGGTTAGTTGTCCTATAAAATGTTGCACATTCTGGACTTTTCCAATTACTTCCTTTTCTCTTTCTCCATGTTTCTTGTAGACTGGAAATTAGGTCTAAAGGCCTGAGTAGATTAAGGTTCAACATTTTTGCCCACAAAAGCCATTGAGTCTGGTTATTGTTCTACTTTTAATAATGTTTACATTGATCAGTGGGTTTCCACAGTGGTGGTGTGTTTCCTCTGAATCTGTGGAGAGATATTTGGCATCCATTTCCTCATCCATCTTTCACCTAATAGTTTTGTTGCCTGAATCATTTTTAGGAAATATTGTGATTCTTTCTTCTATACATATTAGCTGGAATTCTTCTGAAATAATGAGCTTTCCCCCTTCAACTAATGTTATTTGGTTATATTTTTTTAAACTTATTTTTTTAAATATTTTTTATTGATTTCAGAGAGGAAAGGAGAGGGAGAAGTAGAAACATCAATGATGAGAGAGAATCATTGATTGGCTGCCTCCTGCTCGCTCTACCCTGGGGGTCAAGCTTGGGTGCACATGTCCTGACTGAGAATTGAACTGTGACCCCCTGGTTCATCGGTCCATGTTCAACCACTGAGCCATATCAGCCAGGCTATTTTTTTTTAATACTTTTTAAAATATATCTAATTATTAGAATTGTTGTGTGTCTGTCTTTTATAGACTGAGTCCCTGGAAGGCAGACTATGCTTGTTGTATTCCTAATGCCTAGTAACATCATAGTACATTTAGTAAGCTCAACAAATGACACCAACTCAAATAATGCACCAACTCAAAGCTGGTGATCCTCTCCATAGGGATGTGCTGATCATAGAGTACTCTTTAATTAACCTCAGAGTTAAATTTAAAAAGTTAATCCTGTAAATTAAGTCATAAAGACTATTTGTGATTCAAAGTGAGAAAAACACTTACCCTTCAGTGGACTTTTCCAGCAACTTTGGGTGACTACCTTTTGTCAGTCATTTATAACCCAGAGAAGATACTTTTAACACATCCTCTGATGTGTTTTCTTAAATTTTATTTTTAATTATAGTTTACATTCAATATTATGTTGCATTAGTTACTTGTGTACAGCTTAGTGTGGTTAGACAATCACATACTTTACAAAGTGATCCCCTGATATTTCAAGTACCTACCTGGCACGTACATGATTATTACAATATGATTGATTATATTCCCTGTGCTGTACTTTATATATTTAGGTGCTCCTATGTTGGGTGCATATATGTTTACCAGGGTTATAGCCTCTTGTTGAATCAATCCCTTTAGTATTATGTAGTGACCTTTGTTGTCTCTTGTAATGGCCTTCATTTTAAAGTCTATTTTGTCAGATATGAGTATTGCTACTCCAGCTTTTTTTTTCTTTTTCATTTGCATGGAAAAAAAATTTCTATCCCTTCACTCTCATCCTGTGTGTGTGTCTTTTCTTCTTTCTGTGTGGGTCTCTTGTAGACAGCATATAGTTGGGTGATGTTTTTGTATCCATTCAGCAATCCTATGCCTTTTGATTGGAATATTTACACAATCCATTTACATTTAGGGTTATTCTTGATAGGTACTTATTTATTGCCATTTTAATTCTGTATGCCTAGGTTTCTCTCTCTGTTTCTTCTTCTCATTACAGCAGTCCCTTTAACATTTCTTGTAATGCTAGCTTGATGGTGATGTACTCCTTTAGCTTTTTTTTTTTTTTTTTTTTTTGGTCTGGGAAGCTCTTTATTTGACCATCTATTTTGAATGATGATAGCCTTGCTTGATATAGTAATCTGTTTTCAGATCCTTGCTTTCCATTACCTGAGTAGTACTTCATGCCATTCCCTTCTGGTCTGTAGAGTTTCTGATAAGAAATCAGGTGTCAGCCTTATGGGAACTCCTTTGTAGGTAACGGTTTGCTTTTCTCTTGCTGCCTTTAAGTTTCTCTGTTGGTCTTTAATTTTTGGCATTTTAATTATGATGTGTCTGGGCATGGGCCTGTTTGGTTTCTCTTGCTTGGGGTTCTCTGTGCCTCCTTGTGTGACTTTTTCCTTTACCAGGGTAGGGAGGTTTTCTGCCATTATTTCTTCAAACACGTTCTCTATCCCTTTCTTTCTTTCTGCCTCTTCTGGCACACCTGCTATTTGAATATTGTTACTTTTCACGTTGTCCCACAGTTCCCTTAAGTTGTCCTGTTTTTTAATTGTTTTTTCCTTTTTGCTTCTCTGATTAGGTGATTTTTTCAACCCTGTCTTCAAATTTACTGATTCGATCCTCAGCTTCCCCAAATCTGCTGTGTATTCCTTCCAATGTGTTCTTTGTTATGCCATTCTTTATTTCCGACTATTCTTTTTTCCTACTTACTATATCTTTTTTTCATACTGTTGAGCATCTTTACATCATTACTCTGAACTCTGTTTCAGATAAATTTCTTATCTCTGCTTCATTTATCTCTTCTTCTGGAGAATTCTCTTATTCTTTCATTTGAGGGTTGTTTCTTTGTCTCATTTTGGCTGTCTGTTTGAGTTTGTGACTATTTGTTAAGTAGATCCTCTACATCTCTCAGTCTCTAGTGTAGACAGTGTCAAATGCTGTTTCTGACTAATTAGATCAGGCAAAGACTCACAACCTCCAGAGACTGCCGGGGTCCAACCCCAGCAGGTCCAGGGGTCCCCAAAGGTGTGGATGGAGTCGGCGAAGAAGGAATGACACGAAGACAGCATTCAGTTGATCAGCAGCCTATCCAGGATCTCTAGCCAGGATCTTCAGCCAAGTTCTGGTCTGGATCTCCAGAGAGGTTCTGCTTAGGACCTCTAGCCAGGTTGTGTGTCCATGTTCTCTTGCTAGGTTCTCCAGGTTCTCCAGCCAGGTTCTGTAGCCATGTTCCCTCACTAGGTTCTCCAGCCAGGTTCTGTCCAGGTTCTCCAGCCAGGTTCAGTCACCAGGTTCTAGTCAGGTTCTCTTGCCAATTTCTGTAATCAGGTTCAGTCCAGGATCTTTTGCCATGTTCTCTCCAGCGAAGTTCTTCTGTCTCTAGGTTCTGTGTAGGTTCTGTCTTCTCAGTTCTGTGTTCTAAGCTCTGTATTCTAAGTTCTGAGTCTTCCTGTCTTGTTACATCTGTATTTATACCAGTTGATTCAATCCTATCAATCTCTATTACAAAGGTTAGGGCGTTTCTTATCTCCATTCCAGGGAGTAAAGATTATGTAGCTTAAGCATGATTGTTAAAGTGATTAATTACCCACCTGGCACTTAGTTGAGGGGTTTTATTCCCTCCCTAACTTCAGGGGAAAATCCCTACCTGGGGAAACAACCTTTCTCAGAGACCTTGGTTAAAACACATAGTGCCAAGAAGGTGAGCAAACATATTAAGCACAGTATGCCATATATGCCAGGTCCTTTGAAACAGCGAGGATGGACTGGCTCCCGGCAAGAGACCACCTCTGCCTACAGACTGATAGGATTCGGATTTGAATGGCCCCAGGCATCATCCTCAGGTGTGGTGAGAGTTTTTTTTCAACAGGGTGGGGCAGTTGCTTCTGCCTGGAGGCTAATTGTTATTTTTACTCTCTTAGTGGCCTCAGGGCAAGGTGTTTTCCAATAGGGTGGGTCAACTGTCTTCCCCCCCATAGAGGCAAATGTCTGTGTTCGAAAGATGTCCTCTGCTGTGTGAGGGAATGACTCAGCCCAGGAAACTGGGGGTGTCTGCCTTCTGAGCTCTACCCCCAAGTCCCCAATCCTGGCTTCTGCACATACAGCTCCAGTCCACTCTGCCCTCCCTCTGCCGGAGCACAAAGTGAGTGGCTCCACAGGGAATTTTGTGCATTGGCCCTTTAAGAGGGTGCCTGAATTTCCAGCCATCTCTTTCTGGCAGACAGCAACTCCACTGCTTTTCACAGTCAGATGTTATGTGTGTACCTTTCTCAGTTGTGGTGCTCTCTGCTGGGGGGTTCCAGCTTGGGTATTAGATCCCAGAGTGCTCAGTGGCAACCCCCTACAGCTGAGATATCTTTCTGGAACTTCAGTTGCTGTCTCTGGGCACCTGGCCAGCCCTTTCAGGCCTCTGCCCCTCCTACCAGTCTCTATGGGGTCTCCACTTTCTGTCCTTGGGTATCAGGGTTCTCTCCTGCCAGTCTTCTGTTGATTATTTAGGAAGTTTTTCTATATTTTAGTTGTAATTCCAGTTTGTTCCTGGGAGCATGTCTGTGCAGCATCCACTTACTCTGCCACCATTTTAAATCTCTTTACCCTATGCTGTACTTTACATCCCTGTGACTATTCTGTAACTACCAATTTGTACTCAATCCTTCCATCTTTTCACCCAGCTCCCACCTCACCCCACCCCCATCAGATAGTCCAATAGAAAACACCCAAGTAGAATCTGGAAAACATGATTTTCAGCCTGATAATAAAAATTGTGTACACTGGCTAGACGCAGGGGTGGGCAAACTTTTTGACTCGAGGGCCACAATGGGTTCTTAAATGGGACCGGAGGGCCGGAACAAAAGCATGGATGGAGTGTTTGTGTGAACTAATATAAATTCAAAGTAAACATCATTACATAAAAGGGTACGGTCTTTTTTTTTCAATAGTTTTATTCATTTCAAACGGGCCGGGTCCGGCCCACGGGCCGTAGTTTGCCCACGGCTGGAGTGTACAGCACTCTGAATTGTTGACAGGGGTTAGCCACATCCTAATCTTACACGTGAATTCCTAGGCGCTAAACTCAGGCTGGGTGTCGCTCAGGATAGTCTGGGTGGCCGGGCCGCTCCGGGAGAACGCTTTGGCCCGCCCACCAGTGAGGCTTGGCAGGGCCTGCGATCCCTCCCGGGACTCAGTCAGCCCATAGTCCCGCCCCTATCCCCGCCCGCCGCGGTAGTCCCCGCCCCTCCCCTCCGGGCGCTCCGGCGCCCTTCTGGTTCATCTTCCGCCCAGCACTCCCTTCGGCCCGCCCAACCACTTCCCGTGGACAGCACTGGGCTCCGGCGCGTCCGCCTTGACGTGATTGGTTGGTGAGCGTATCCGCTCCAGTGGCGTCACGTGGGCCCAACGGGCTCAGGTCGAGCGCGGGACGCGGAGGACGTTGGGCGTGCGTCGCGACCGCTCGCGCGGGGGTTTCCAGCTCCTGCTATGGCGGCGGCGGTTGCGGAGGGCGCAAGCATGGCTGCGGTTCCCGTGTCGGGCGCCCACAGCCCCAGCAAGCCGCCCGTCGGCGAAGGCGAGGGAGCAGCGGGCGAGGAGAAGAACGCTGGGAAGAAAGGAGCGGAGGCCGTGGGGGACAGCGAGGAGGACGGGGAGGATGTGTTCGAGGTGGAGAGAATCCTGGACATGAAGACTGAGGGGGTACGTGAGCGGGCGGGGCACGGGTCAGCCGGGCCGGGCGGGGGCGGGGCGGCAGCGAAGGGGGCGTCTCGGGGAATGGTGAAAGTTGGGTCTCCGGCAGCGTCTCGGCGGCGGCGTGTGAGGGTCGGTGACCGTTCACACAGTGCTGGGTGTTGACGTACCTGGTTGGGGCCGTTACTGGGAAAGGGTGACATGACGTTGAAATTAGTCTGCTGCTCAGAGTCCGTGTCCACGCCGTCGTTTCAGGTTTTTTTCCCCGAACCTGTAGTCAACTTTCTGGTGTGAAATCTTCAGGATTATCTACTGTAGTTGAAAAGTAAACAAGAATTTTAACGTCCATTCGCCTTGGGCATCCTCGACCCTAGAGGGTGCATTTCAAGGTCTACCGAAACTGCCCACTGCCACCCTGTCTCCCGGGCATCATTTGATGGCCGCCGGGGCCGTCCGACCGCTGGCGCTCCCGCTCCCCCTCCTAGTCCACCTCTTTGTGCCTGTTCCATCCTGACCTCCGCGGGAGCGAGACGCGGCCATCTCGGGGCTCCGTTTCAGCGCTTAAAGCATCAGCGTTCCGTATTGTTCTCCTGCTCCTTGAATACAGGGAATGTGATTTTGTTAATCTTGGTATCACTGTTACGTAATCCAGTGCCCAGCATGCAGTTAGCGCTTAGTGTGTATCCCGTTATTAAATGAGGAAAAGAATTGTAGGCTGGAGGCTGGGGTGAAGGGGAGAGATAACCAAAGGCCCCACACATATAGTGGATTCTTTTCATTGTCTATTAACTTCCCATTCGTCTTGTACTACCTTGATTTAATTATTTTGTTCAGTCATTCAACAAACTTTTTAATCAGTTCCTGTGTGCTAGGGGCTGTGATGCCTCCTGCGGATATAGAGATGGAACTATAGCTACGCATTTGCTGACATTGAACAATTCTGTCCAGTAAATAATTGAAGTCCAGTGCCATTAATACTATTGTTAGTTGCACAATACAGTAAAGATAGGAACATTTTTAGGCATAATTTTCCCAAATATATTGTAAATGCCTTGAGGTGAGAGATGGAGCCAATCTCACTATTTTGTATCACCTGCAATTAACACAGTACTTGGCACATAGCAAATACTTAGAAAATATTTGGCTAGGAGGGTAGTATCTTTAGAATTAAGAGGATTCATCTATTTATGCACTCCTAATTTTGTCAGTCCCAAAGAATTGTAGGCAGTATACCTAAAGACCCCCTCCCGCTCACCCACTTTAGTAACACACACTCACCTGGTTAGTTTCCCTGGCCAACAACTGCGTGGACTTGGTACTGGATGTAGCAGTACCAGCCCGCTGGAGCACAGCCAGAAACAGACTAGCTGGATTGGGACAGGACATGAACTGAACTAATGGTGCAAAATTTCTGGACATTGGGAACCCAGAGGCAGCCTTCTATTCTTACCACACCAAAACCTCCCACGTGCAGGTCTCTTGAAATTCTTTCCTTGGGACTCTGAAAGAACACGATTTCCACTGGCAAGAGGAAGATGAAAACAGTACTGGAGATGGACAGTAGTAATGGTTGCACATCAGGTGAATGTATTTAATGCCATTGAACTGTACACTTGAATATGGCTAAATGGCAAATTTAAGATACATATGTAAAAAATATAAAACTGTAAAAATTTTTTAGTTACCTGTTGTATCCTTTGCCCATTTTCTTGTTCATTTACAGTCAAACCTCTTTTTCTTGAATGTCTCCCATCTCAAATAATTCAGTTCTCAACCAAGTTGTTAACATAAAAAATGTCTCCCTCCAACTTTGGTTTTTGAACTGACAACCCTTCCGTGCTGATAGCTCAGCATGACAAAAAGCTCTCAGGCCACAAACAAATGAGAGAATGCTTTTGTTGTTGGGGAAATCAATTTTAAGACATAAAAACGGCATGGAGTGCTAATATTGCTAAGGGTGTGAAAGAAACAATTATCATGGACAATTTAAAAGATAGAAAAACTATTGTAGATTTTGATATATGAAAAGCAGTTAGCCAGTGACAGCATTTCGGAGGCAGTGATATATGAACAAGCAAAGATGGTGACCTGAAAGACAACCCTGGAATGAGTGCTGAAAGTGATTTGTTTAAGCCTAGTAGATGGTGGTTCGATAATTTTAAGAAAAGAAGTGTTTATAGATTAATGTACTGTATATAAGAAAGGTTAAAACAGAGTCATTTGTGGGTCTGGAACGGATTAATTAAATTTACATTATTTCAGCCCTACCCGGTTTGGCTCAATGGATAGAGCGTCAGCCTGCAGACTAAAGGGTCCCAGGTTCAATTCCGGTCAAGGGCACATGCCTGGGTTTCGGGCTCAATCCCCAGTGGCAAGCGTGCAGGAGGCAGTCAATTAATGATTCTCTCTCATCATTGATGTTTCTATCTGTCTCTCCCTCTTCCTTCCTCTCTGAAATTAATAAAAATATATTTAAATTTACATAATTTCTAATGGGGAAAAATGATTCCATTTTCGAACAAATTGCTTCTCAAACAGCCTTCCGGAATGAATTAAGCTCAAGAACCAAGGTTCCACTGTATAAGAATTTTTTTTTTTTTAATCTTTATGGCTATTCAATCTTTGTCATATGTATTCCAAAGTTTTGCTTCTCAAGATTTCTGGTTTACTTTTTCTGCTCAACATCCAGTCTTACTGAGGAGCAAGAACAAACTCAGGAAATAGTTTCCCACATGAACTACGGAGAACCATTCTGGCTATACGCTTGTGGACAAAAAAGGATACACACACTAAACCTGACAAGCTCAGGGGAGGCCTGCATGGTGAGCCTTACAAAACTCAAGACACCTTCTAGTAAAGTAACTACATAGGATAATCTGAAATTAAAACTTCTTAACTAAAAGCGAGTCATGCCAGGGAGGCATGTCCTAGGCTAGTATCTTCCTTGACAAAGGTCAATCTTTACTTAACTGAGCCTGGCTATTGTCTTTTTGTATCTACACTAATAAAAGAGAAACATGGTAATTGGCGTACGACCGCTACCCTTTTCATTGGCTAATCAGGGCGATATGCAAATTAACTGCCAACTAAGATGGCAGTTAACCACCAACAAAGATGGTGGTTAATTTGCATATGTAGGCACAATGCAGGGAGGCGAAAGGGAAAGCAGGAAGAAGCCCCCTGCCACTGACAGTGATCGGAAACCCAGGGGGGAGCTAAGAGCCGGGGGGGCAGGGCAAAGGCGGCCCTGCCCCCCAGCCATGATTGGAGAATCGGGCGCCTTTGCCACCCTGGCCAGTGATAGCAGGAAGTAGGGGTGGAGCCAGCGATGGGAGCTGGGCACGGTCGAAGCTGGCAGTCCCGGGAGCTAGGGGTCCCTTGCCTGGGCCTAAAGCGGAGCCCGCGATTGCGGGGCCGCTGCAGCTGCGGGTCCCCTCTGCCCAGTCCGGACGCCTCGGCCAGAGGCGTTAGGCCTGGGCAGGGGCAGAGCTTGAGATCGCGGGGAGCTGGGGGTCCCCTGCCCAGGCCTAATGCCTTGGCCAGAGGCCTTAGGCCTGGGCAGGGGCAGAGCCTGCAACTGCGGGGAGCTGGCGGACCCCTGCCCAGGCCTAATGCCTCGGCCAGAGGCGGTAGGCCTGGGCAGGGGCAGAGCGGGAGATCGCGGGGAGCTGATGGTCCCCGCTGCCCAGGCCTAATGCCTCAGCCAGAGGCATTAGGCCTGGGCAGGGGCGGAGCCTGCAACCGCGGGGAGCTAGGGGTCCCCTGCCCAAGCCTGACACCTCTGCCGGAGGCCTCAGGCCTGGGCAAGGGGCCGATCTGGGGATCGGTGATCGGAGGGTGATGAGGGTCAACTCCTCTGGCCGAGGCATCAGGCCTGGGCGGGGGGCAGAGCCAGCAATCGGAGGGGGCTGGGGGTCTCCTGCCCAGGCCTGATGCCTGGGCCAGAGGCATCAGGCCTGGGTGGGGGGCGGAGCCAGGGACTGGGGGGATATGATGGTCCCCTTGCCCAGGCCTGAAGCCTGGGTCAGGCATCAGGCTTGTGCGGGGGGGTGGAGCAAGCGATCAAAGGGAGATGGGGGTCCCCTGCCCAGGCATGATTCCTGGGCCAGAGGCATCAGGCCTGGGCGGGGGTCAGAGCCAGTGATGGGGGGAGATGAGGGTCCCCTGTCCAAGCCTGACACCTCTGGCGGAGGCATCAGGCCTGGGCAAGGGGCCGATCCTGCGATTGGAGGGTGATGGGGGTCAACGCCTGAGGGCTCCCAGTATGTGAGAGGGGGCAGGTTGGGCTGAGGGACACACACCCCCCACCCACCCAGTGCACGAATTTCGTGCACCGGGCCCCTAGTCTACTGATAATATACCTTTGGAATGTCAGGGTAATTTTCTTTTTCCAGACCCCTGAGAGCACAATCTCCCATCAGAGCAGGAGTCCACAGAGCCCCTCATTATTGTTATCTATTAATTATTAACTGTTAACTATTCTATCCCCACCAATGTAAAAGAAGTATGTGCCTCTTAATTTTACTTTTTATCCAGTCCCACAGATTTCCCCATTTTGCTTTCTCCCCCCTCCCTAACCTATCACCAGTGGATTTCATGTAACCCCCTTATGTCTTCCTCTTTGTTTCTAATGTATAAAATAAGATGCAAAACTGCTGAGATTTTGTCATTAGTTTGGCTGAAACTCATAAAGATTCTTACAGGTTTGGACATTTCTTATATCAACACATTCAACACTTATCTGACTTTATTCTTACAATCACCAAGGCAGTAAACTTTCAGGCTGAGTGCCAAGCACTACTTCCTCCCATTATAGCCTTCAATCATTCTGCCAGTGGTAAAAGACCAAGCATTAAATTCTAGGATCAGAAACTACGATATAATGGAAAAAGAGTAGACTTAGACTCTTAATTTTTAAAGATAATCTCGAAAATCCTTATAATTTTAAAATAATAAGAGTCTCTATCAATACAGTTTGATGGTTCAGATACATAACTGGGTGCGGGGGA